CCCGCCCCGGCGCTCGCTGCGGCACAAAAGATGGCGGCGAAAACCCAGGGCGGCATCCGGCTGAGCGCGGTGAGCGGCGGCGGCGCCTCCTCCCGCCGCGGCGGCGGACCGGGGCCGGGAGCCGGGCCCGGGGGCGAGAACGGGAGCTGTGTGGGAGCGGCGCGCGCTGCGAGCCCCCCGCCCGCCGCGGCCTGTGCCCGGGGCGGCCCTGGCGGCGCTTGCGGGGCTTGCCGGTGCTGGGGGGAGCGGCGGGCGGAGCGGGGGCCCCTGGAGCCCGCGGCCCTGCGTGCCCGGGCGGCAGCCGCAGCCCGACCGCCTTTCGCTTTCGGTACGCGCCGGCTCCATGCCCGGTGGGCCCGGCGAGCAGCGGGGTGGGCGCGGGGCCCTCCGTGAGCCGCGGGCCCGGTGCCGCTGAACCCGCCGTGTTTATTGAGCCTAGGCTGGGTTTAAAGGTCCCTCTCGCCCTCGCCGCACACGCCTCTAAGCGACACGTATAGCTCGAAGCAGCCTCGGCGACACGTATAGCTCGAAGCAGCCTGGCGCCGAAGCCTGCCGTTTATTGTGAAGCTTGGGATGGGGGAAAGATCCCATGGCAGCTGGGAGCTTTCCCGGGCGTTGGAGTGGAAGGTGTGTGTGCTGGGGAGCGATGAGAGCTGCCCCGCTTGCCCCCGCGCAGGCTGCGGCGCCGCGGGCTTCGCCCCTGAGCGTCCTGCCCCGCGGAGCACAAGCCGTGTCTTTGCCCTGTGGTCCTCGGGTGCCTTAGCGCCACGCTTTCTCTGAGACTRTGTATTGGGAGAAGTGGTTAAAACTGATCTCTGGTGGAGAGCTCTTTGGCAAGCTGACTTCCTGCAGGTGGGAAAGCTAAACTGAAATAGGTGCCGCTGGTAACTTTGTGAATTATTTTTTAGGATACAAGTTTTTGGTTTGTTTTGTCRTAATTGAAAAATGTCTGTTTGCAATCAAAGCTGTTGCTTGTTTTGTGTTTTTTTTCAATAAAGGAATGAAGCAGCTGATGGAGTCTTCCAACAGATCATGTTCCATAGTGCTCTAGACTCTGCTTTCCAGGGCAAACACTCATGGCCCTTGTCTTTTCTGTCAGCTGCTGTTCTCTGGAAATACATTCCCTTTCACCAAACTATTTCCATTAGACTTAGAAGGATATATGAACAGCACAGGTACTTTGAGCAGGCCTGATAGCTAATTCCCACCCTTAACATTTGTTTGCTTCTGTTGCTTGAGTAGATTTTTTTGCTCAGGTGCATGAGACAGATCGTAGAACTTAGGCTTGTTAAAAGTAAGATTAAAAAAAAGTATTTTTARTTTGGATCGTCTCCCTGATGTGGTTCCTTACGCAGTTGCCTAACAGTGTTAGCGTGACTGGGAAGGAGACTGGAGAGGAGGCAAGAGGAGCACGTCAAGAACCGAGCRGCCAGATGGGATCGTCGCCGCGGGAGCTGGCACCGCCGCTGCCACGGAAATGAATCCTGGCCAGACTGTGGCCTGGGAACAGAAAGGGTGGAAGGACGAGGGCTGTGGCAGGGCTTGGAGCAGAAGGAAGGCGGAAAAACAGGCGACTGGAGGAGAGTGSCTGAGGGATCTTCCTGCAATAAGACACAGGCTGCTTTATTTTTAAATAACTGGTGGTTACAGGTGTAGAAGATGTTTCTGTTAGTGTTGCTGCATCTTGTAATACAAGCTATAGAAGTAGTTTGAAGGAAAGGGGAGGTTAGTTGTACTCTCAAAAGGGGTTTTGCTGGGCTTGGTCTTTAGAGGGAAAAATGAAGCTGCTAACCCAAACCTWCCTGCTGATAAAATACCCAAGGCCCAGTGAGCAAAGCACCTAGATTTGAATTGTCTTGGCTGCAGTCAGGCTAGCCCCCTAAAAAGGGGTCGTTCASCCTGTTTTAAACCCTCTCTTAACCTTAGCCATTCTGTTCTCCTGTCAGTCACAGACGGTGCCATTYGTGAGCTGGCTAAAGCTTGTTGGGGACAGCAGTGGCCTCAGGCATTCGCGGGGACAACAAGTGGGTGTGCTCCGAGGCAGACTAGGAAGTCGCCCTTCGCTGCTTTTCAGTCCTCCTTGGGTGCTCTTTTGYGTCTTTGTTTCACTGCCTTTATGCTAGGGAATGGTGCTGGTGCCGTGAGGAAGACTTTTGTGTGGATTATTAGCCTTTTGCTGAGAGAGATATTGGAGCCTCAAACCAGTTTCTTGCAATCCCCCTGTTCCAGTAGATAAGTTCTGGTTTCCTGTGACTGTTCCTGTGTTTGGGCAGCCCTGTGCAACACCTTTCAGCCCTTTCAAAACCTTATCATTTGAAACATGGATGCAGAAAGATGAACCTGATTCCCATGTTTGTTTATGGAAGAGGTTCTAGGTGATGTTCCTGCCAAAGTTAGTCAGTAGCCTGTAGCAATGAGAGGAGGGATGGAGAAACATTGGGTTATGCGTGAAACCCTCTGCTTGCTGTGCACATATGCACTTGGCTTCCCTGGAAAAAGAACATTTATCCAGGATTCTTTTTTATTTTCCTYAGTTTTGGAAATGGGGATTTTTGCTTCACCGATCGTTCGGTCAGGGAAGGTTCACAGCTTTATGTGCCTTTCCAAACTACCGTCCAGGACTCTTTTCTAAATGCATATGGCTAAAGTTGTGGTGCTGGTAGTGAGGCCAGAGTGCCCAGTCTGTCTCTTGTGCACGGGAAGCCTTTCCCCAGCTAGCAGCAGAGACCTGTTTTAGCAGTGGGTTGAGCAGGTGTTGAACGTCTGTCAGTATTTCCTTTTTTCTTAGGTACTATATTAAGTGCTATGTTATATATTRTACTATATCAAATAAGAATTTTGGATGGAGGGGAAAAAAAAAATCACATTTATTTTCTTGCAAACGTGGTCATCAGGCTTAGAAAGAAAAGAGCAAATACTGCAAGCAGTGTGAAGGGTTAAAGAGGAAGAAATGCTCCAGTACAGGCAGGATCTTGAGACTGCTGAGCTGCTGTGTGGTGGGGGAAGAAAACGAAACTTCCCCTTACCCGTGTGCCACCGACTGGGGCGGGGTGGTTTCCAGTAACTGGCCGGGYATCCTTTTCTTTCTGGATTCTGCATTGTTTGTAAATAACTGCTATGAATGTGGAGCAAACATTGTGACTTGGGCAGATTCAGTTTAGCAGATTTTGTGAAACTGCAGTTCTTAAAACCGGGTAGCAATGAAGAACATAGTGTATAGTCAGACTTGTTCTGTGAATTAATATAGGGATTAAGTTGCAACCTGAGCTTGTACCTTGTGGTCTGATGACCTTAGAATGAGGATGCATTTTCTGAACAACTTGCACTGACCTAAACTAGGGTTGCTTCTGCCTTACTCTCACTGTGATCCCTTGCCCACTGCACTTGATTTGCTTGTAATGTTATTTCTTTTCTCTGATAAGTGAATTTGGAGACGTGGAGTGATTCCTTATTTCTGTTTAGATGTGACTACGACAGCAATTGTCAGTATTGTTCTGTGAAGTTTGGCTGTGTGTGCGAGTAGGTGTTTTCTGGTTTTATGTATAATATTATGCATTATATTATGTTTTCTAGTAAAACTGCGCTGTACRTGAATTATTTCCAACATTGCCATGTATTCACGTGTATCGATCTCTATGCCATCAACGTAACTGTGCTGGCAAGATTTAATTAAATATGCAGTACGTTTGTATTGAAAGCCCTATAAAAGTATAGTTATAGATACACTTAGGGTAATGCACATATCTATATCAGTTTCAGCATGCTTTTGTCACTGGCATCTGTAAGATGTGTCCCATAAATAGGTATTTTATTTTGCGTGTTGTCGTCTCATCCTAGTAGTAGCTGCGTTCCTCTAGTTACACGTGATCAGRCTCATACTAATGATTTGCCAAAGGCACAAGCCACTAGTTGAGAGAATCTGACAGGTGCCAATAATGGCTGATTTTTGATCGATATGGACAGAAAGAACCAGGCCTGTAGCCTGGAAGTCACTGAGTATATTGGGTGCCCTCCACTTTTTCTGAGTCAGTCTCATACTCATAGCTTGAGATGTATGTTTTTAACACCTGAGAGCTTGTGTTTTCGCTGCTAGGTTTTTAACTGTGACTGTGATATCTTCCTGTGACCTCTAGCATCAGTATGTGACAATAGCTCCTTTTATTTCTGTAATGATAAAGAAGCATCTGGGTGGATATGACTGCATAGCCCATGTTTGAAACAGTGATACTAGAGACTTGAGTTCTTTATCGCTCTGTACTTTGAAACATCTATAGTAATTTTCCTTTTAAAAGTTATCAGTGTGCTGGAACCTAACAGTGTATTTAATTACAGCTTTTTGATGACTTYGTATAAAGTAACTTAATAGAATGTTACTTTGTTTAAGGAGCTGTTTCTGGCTTTGGGTTGGTTGAAGACCACAAACTAATGTTGTTGTTTCTCTTTTATTTCAGCTTTGTCCAAAGTTCTTGCACACCAACTCCACCAGTCACACCTGGCCTTTCAGTGCAGTGGCAGAACTCATAGGTATGTGGATCGGTAGTTTGCTTGAGTACTTGATGGTAATATTACTTTTTTGTGTGTGTTTTAATAATGCCTTTTTTTTTTGGCTAAGGGAAGGAGTTGATCCTGTTGCTGCTACTCAATTTCTTACTCTTTTTGGTTTTGGTTTTGTTTTAAGTCTTTCAGTCAGAATAAAGTCAACATATTGACTTCATTCTTTAACAGCATTTAATTCCTGATATCTGTTGTAGGAGGCTTTCCAGGATTTAGTGGTTTGTTTTGGTTGAGTTCAATAAGAATTGCTAAATCCAGTGAACTGTAGGACCAAGTGAATTCCTCCTCTCCTAGCCCTCCAGATGGAAGCCTCCTGCCTTTTGCTTTTCCCAAGTCCAGCCAGCATTTAAGTCCAAGTGCAAATTCCAAGGATCTGCGAGCACTTCTACAAATAATGCAGACCCAGCTGACCACGAACATAGTCTGGAAGAGGGTAACTTTGCAAGCACTTGGATAAAGACAAGCAGCTGTCAGCACGTGAGCAGCCCGGGAGAGCTGACGCTGTTCTTGCTTGCTGGCCCATGGGGGTGCAGGCTCGCTGGCGCGGCACGCACGTGCCCTCACGTACGCGGCTTGTCGCCTTGGGTGTTCTGCCAAGGCTTGGATTCCTGCAGTACCTGCGTCCAGACCACTGTGGGTGTGGCTTTTGTTTTGCTTTTGTTTTGATCCGTGTGTGGCCCAGACCTTGGATCGTTCTGTTCTGGCTTCCTCTTTTCAGAGTTGGCTTTCTCTGTCTGAGCAAACCGATGCAGATACGCGTTCGGAGTAGAGACTTTGCTCTCAGAATTGCAGGTCTGTAAAAAGGTGCAAARATGCAGCAGTCAGGCACAGGACCCAACTATGCAAACATAGTGATGAAGATGCAGCCAGCCTGCACACTGCCAACCCATGCTATTCCCCCTTCCCTTGTCCCGTGCCTTTCCTCTCCCACCCACCTTCACCTCTCCCTTTTCCTCGCCTTGATATTTCCTTGAAACATCCCACAGTAAGTTTTGGACACTGTCACAACATCCTCATTTGCTCTTTCTCTGATAACTTCTATTAAATCTTATTTTGTTCTTGCGTGTTACTAAGTTTGTGATTGAACATCTTCAAGGTTACGCTTGAGTCTCTTCTCTTAGTGGTCTCTTAATGGCCTTCAGTGCCTGAATAGCACCGGTCTTTATCATCTCTGTCATCTGTTTGTCTGGCTTTTTCTTACAGTTTATTTATTGTCTTACTGCTTCTATTGAATGGTTGTTAACTGGCTATCTTCAGAGATGTTTGATTTCTGACTTACAGAATATGTTACTGTGCTGTCTATAGCTGATTCCGCAAACTAAAAATAATGGTTTAAAAAAATAATAAAGAAAACCTTTGTTAATACAGAAATGAAGTGGTAGTAGAGCAGCAGTATTTTTTTCCCCCTCTAAACTTCCTGGCTCCATGGAATCAAAATTTCAGGTTTTGCAAAACTGACTGGGATGAACATGTGTGCTGTGGGTGTGAGAGAGAGATTTTGTTTGTCTGTTTGCCTGAGTTTCTTTGGTTTTTTGGCCTCTCAGGGTTGATTACCCGAAGTGGCTCAGCATTCCCCAGTTGAGAAGGCTCCTAGCAGGCAGGATATTTTTGCAGCTGGATGTATCTGTGATTTGCTGTGATCTGTGCTGTCGCCAGCTGACGGCAGTCAGAAGAGATGTTTGGGTGCCTGTGAGAAAGGGAGCAGTGCAGCGGTCTCGGGGGAGTAAGGAATTGAAAGCAGAAACTCCTGTAGGTTTTGTTTCCTGCTTTCATTTTTGAAGCAGTCATCATAACATCAGCTTTCGCTAGTAGATGACTATAATCCCTGATCTGAAGAAATTTTGTGGTTTTAGGTGAGGTTTGCCAGCTTATGAGTCAACTATTTCATCCTACTGCTTTACTTCAGGACTGTCAATTATAAAAAGGATAGGATTTGAGGAGACTTAAAGTTTCTACTACATTTATTAAAATCTGTGGGTTTTTTTGTTCGTTTCTGTGCCAAACTGACTAATATTCTATGACAATCAGACAAAATTTTTCTCTCACAGCACAGATTTTCTCCTGTTAAGTTGTGTAGCTGATTGAGAAGCAGAAAAATGACTGCAGGTTTTGGGCTTGATCACCCTGTAACTGGTTACCCTAACTAGTAACTGGTTTTTTTTTTGTGCAAATGCGAAACTGAGAGCTCATGATTAGAGAACTAGTTAAGCTGCYGTGTGCATCAAGGAAACATATTGGGCAAGCATAGCATCATAACAGAGGTGGGAACAGCTATTCCATATAGCTGCATGGTAGCGTTGCAAGACCAAAAGTGAGTAGATTAATTATCTGTGTGTTCCTGAGTTCCTGTGCTCCTGCATATGGATCGAAATAACTTCGTAAAATTTCCTSTGTGGTAGCTTCACTAGAATTAAGCATTTTAAAGTACGTTCACATTTAATTGCCRAATTTGAGGAGTTTAGTATCCCACTCTTGATTATTTCCTTTTATTTTTGTTTTTATTTATTTTTTTTTTTAGATAATGCTTATGATCCTGATGTGAGCGCTAAACAGATATGGATAGACAAAACGGTGATAAATGACAATATATGCCTGACGTTCACCGATAACGGAAATGGTATGAACTCAGAGAAGCTGCACAAAATGCTAAGGTGGATAACTTTTTATTTTTCATATTATAAAGCTTCCAGCTTTAAGTTGTGTGTGTTACTGCTCAGCTTATTCCTTTTCCTCTTATATAATCTAAGYTTATAAACTCGCTTTAGCACTTTCAAATGCAGATAATCACCCCAAACTGTAACAGGCGGGTGTTAGCACACCTAGCAACTTTGTTACAGCTTTGTCAGTGTATTTTTTTTTCCCCTGATTTCACTTTATCCTATTAGCATTCCCATTTAGTTTTCTGTGCAGTGGTTGTGCTGTGTAAACTTTATGCAGTGCCCTKTAGAGGAACTAAGAAGAGTTAATTTTTTATGTTTGTTTGTTTATTTTTGTTTATCAGCAGAGGTGAAGGGATACTGGGTACAAACCATTCTGAGTACTGAAAATAGAATTAAAAAAAAAAAGTTCATGGACTGGTAATTTTGTCTTTATGCTTTGAATAGTCTAAAGGGTTTGAATTGATGTATGTGCAGCTTCTGTTTCCTTGGTTAGCTAAGAAGTTGCTGTTGAATTGTTCTTCTAGTACTAGATGGATTCCTTAACCTCCAGGTAAGCAGTAGGTCTAAACCTGAGCAAGTTTGAATTGAATCKTGTTATCTTTTCCTGTAAGATGTAATTAATAGCTTGCATGCTAAATTCCGCTTTGTTACCTGGTTTAATTTGAGTGTAATGTCTAGTTGTTAGTGGCAAATGTGTAGATCATGCATTTTCTAGYAAAAAAAAAGACATAAAAAAGAAAATTTTCTGTCGAGCCCCTTCTGAGTATTTATTATGAAGCCCAAGAATAAATATTATAATCCTTTAAAAATGCTTATTGCATAATTTTATCAGGTGATATTTCTAATCCATACTTAAGTGATATTTACTTTTAATTTTTAATTGTCGTGATGTAGTTTTAGCAATATTACAGTTGTAATTCTCGGGATCTGCCTAATTGTACGTTGTTTAATTGTACATTAGCCACCAATTTCTCTAAGACATTAGTCTGTTTTGATATCAGTCTTGCATGTGCCTTCCCCCCTCCCCCCTATATTTTATGGGACGTTTTACCCTCTTCCAATATTTTCTTAYGTTTCAGCTTTGGCTTCAGTGAGAAATCGGTAATGAATGGCCGTGTTCCCGTGGGGCTGTACGGAAACGGGTTTAAATCGGGGTCCATGCGCCTTGGGAAGGACGCCATAGTCTTCACCAAGAATGGAGAAACGATGAACGTGGGCCTCTTGTCCCAGACCTTCCTCGAAGCCACAAAGGCAGAACACGTCATGGTTCCCATAGTGACATTCAACAACCAACATATCCTTTTGGATCCTTTTGGCTGTGTTAAATGTYTATGTGCAAAGCTTGGGTATTTAGATCCTTGAAGGAAATCTCCTTGTCTAGTCTTACAGATGCTCTAGTTATATTGTAAGATGAGGAGAAGGCTAAAGTTGGTTAAAACTCCTCAGTGTGCAGGAGCTGGGAGAGCCCGTAAGGAGTGCGGGGGTCCTGTTGTGGCAGTTTATCTGTCCCCTGACGGCTTACTTCCCTAGCAGTTATCCTCTTTAACACGATGCTTACGACAGATAAGTGACCTGGTGGAAGCCAAGAACAACCTGAAGGCCATCTTAACACATTCTCTGTTCTCTACTGAAGAGAAGTTGCTGGCAGAGCTGGATGCTATCATGGGGAAAAGGGGAACAAGAATTATCATCTGGAATCTTCGAAGGTAAGCGGAGGCGCAGCCTCTCGTCTCTCATTTGTCTTGTGTCACCTGTTCTGCTATGCAAGTTAGCAAGGTTTTGGTAGAATAATTCTACCAACTGCAGGCAGCAAGCTCACGTGTTGGTAGTACTATAGTATGGCTTGAAGGGTTGCTAACCTCTCGGGTAAAGCAGTCCAAAAGCAGCAGGAAGGAGAATGTAAGAGTCTTTGCTTTGATAAGATACTAAGATATTGCCACTTTACCAAAAGGAAAATCAAAAYAGATGAACTGAAAATAATGAAATCAGTTACCTGGGGCCTGTGTGGAAATTGAGGACAAAATTCAAACAAAAATGTATGTATGTACAACCAAGTGTGACTGACTTTAACTCTTAAGTCAGCTCTATCCCCTTGAGACACCTGGTCCTTTCTAAGTTAGCATTTAACTTCTTRACTGGTTGCCATAAAACAAATTTAACTACATATATATGTTTACYTGGATTTTTTAGCAGCAGTTGCTGCAACAGTGGTGACTGTGGGTCCTCATCCATCCTTCTATTCCACCTTCCCTTCCCTCTCCTGCTTGGGCGGCTTGCGGGACCTACCCTTAGGAGGGAGTGGGAGCCCTGCCCTGTCCTTGATGGTGATGGAGCTGGCTGCTCGGGAACGGGGTGTCTCGTGGCGCTCTTCAGGACTTGGCTTACTCCAGTTTAACAGTTSTGAGATTAAAAACCTTCCCGTGAACACCTTGTTAAACCCTTTCAGGGCCCAGTGGGTTTGCTAGGAAGATAACTTCTAATCTGCACTCATCCCAGGCTGATGGTTCTTTCACTCCCTTCTTTGCAGTATCAAAGGGTCCGAATCAAACAGTTTTACCTTAGTGGATTTAAACACAAGATAGCAAAGTGTAATCAACACTCGGGTATCGCTGATTCTGATTGACCTCTTCCTACCTACTCCAGAAGGAGAACTGTATCTTTTATACTTCAAAAGCTAATTCATATGTTTTAGATACCTTTTTATATATCAGTGAATGAATATGTAGTAATATGTGTCTCTGTATTGCAAAAGAAAAATGCGTGAAATTATTGGACTGGGCAGGATAACTGAGGTTCTGATGTGTTCATAGAAAGCTATGGGAGATGGCTGTGGGTTTTTTTTTTTTTTTTTTTTTTTTGAATTGTTTCTAATACATTGCAATTGAATCTGCTTTTGAAAACCCAACAGAACTATTTAAATCTTTAGTAACTGTTTCTGGAATATTTGTGCCAAATGTTATATACCTGAATATGGTGCGAAGTCGTCGCTGGTGTACTGCAAAGTGTGTGCCAGGCGGAGGGGCTGCAGCTGACTTTTTAAAATAAAATACATGTATCTCCAGTGAGCAGTGCAGTCAGARTTTGTGACATATTGCTCGGTTATAAAATTGTCATCTGCATGACTTTTGCAGCAGTAAGAATCTTAAAATAATAATTTGCCATGTTAAGGACCATTGCCCGCAGAAGGAGYGTGTTCACCTTAGGCCATCGAGCCTTTAAAGATGATACTGACCCCTTTTATTAAGGAGCTGTGACCTATTTAGAATTCAGATAGAATTTATGAATGTCTTATCTGCTGTCACTTCTCCTGTATTTCTGGGATATCCAAAAGAATCTGATGAACAGGTTGATCTGAATTTTAGAATATCTGTGAGGAAAAACAGTGTGTAAATCAAAGGAATTTCCTTTCTCCAGTATCTTTGATGTCCTTTGGGCTCCTCAAATCTTTCTAGAGTTAGTTTTATAACTGACTTCTAAAAAAACTTTACTTCTTAGAGATAAAAATGAAAAAACGGAGTTTGATTTTGACAAAGATAAATACGACATCAGAATTCCAGAAGACTTGGATGAAACGGGAAAAAGAGGCTATAAAAAACAAGAGAGAATGGACCAGGTTGTTCCAGAAAGCGACTATTCATTACGAGTACGTATACCTTTTTCTTCTTTTTTTCTTTTTTTAATGAAGCTGGAGTGTATTTGGTTTTGTTTTTTAGTATAATATATTATATGACAGAAATATGGTTAAAGACAGGAAACTGGAGGGTAGARTTTTCATGTCAGGGAAATATGTCAACATTTAATGAAAACTGGGAGTAGACTATGTTTGTAAACTCGCATAAACTTTTCATGTTCCTCCAGGAGAAAATTAGTACATGTATGTGGACTTTCTTTTTTCTTAATAAGGTCTTGCAAATAACTTTTGCTGTTAAATGTAGACATTGCTATCCTCTATGGAGCAAGATGGAAATGCAGTGGTTAACTTCAAAAATTAACAGGTGTGTGCACAGTGGTAAAGCAAAGTGGACACTCCATTGTAGTACAGGCATAAATGCACATAGTACTGGTGTTATCTTCACCTGGTTCTTTACCCGCCAAAAAGCAGTCTGTTTTAAAATGTTCTTTCTAGATTTTAGAAAGAGGGCAAGGAATTGGAGGCAGTTACTTTGAATATCTGCACAGAGAAAAGTCTTGGACGTGTCTGTCAGCCACTTTTTAAGATGACTGTGCTCACTGAGGGCTTCCTTTATAAGCATGAGCCCTCATGATCACTGAGGGCTTCCTTTGTAAGCAGCCTCCTCTGAACGACTAGGTGTCGTGAACTCTTTCTGGATGATACTGAAAGTAGTGCTCTAGCTGAGCTAAAACTGGCAGTTATCCTAAGATTCATCGGAGCCATAAATATATTTCAGATATCAGCAGCTATAAATATGATGATAAATGAAATACAAGCTAAAATTTATAGAATATTTGCCACGATCATAAGAAGATTGCATAGGTTGACAGTGCAGCCAAAAAAGCTAAYGCTTTTGCTTTTGTTTCTTGTTTCAAGGTGTGTCTTGGAATTTTTAAGCCCTCAATAGGGAAAGGCTTTACAAAATTTTAATCAGAACTTGAGCTTGTCTTGCTTATACATCTGTGTTGTAAACTATTCATACCTTATTTGTTTGAATAATAGAATTTTCTGTGTATTTTTGTAGGCTTACTGCAGTATTTTGTATTTGAAGCCAAGAATGCAGATTATTCTTCGAGGACAAAAAGTGAGAACACAGCTGGTTTCCAAAAGCCTYGCCTTCATTGAGCGCGATATATATAGACCAAAATTTCTGAATGTATCCTTTTTGATACGTGCATTAGTTTTCTCTAAATGGAGTGACGGGTCTTTGTATGTAAGCTGTCTGGATTTTACTGGTATGTTGCAGTTATTCTGTTTTATTTCTCTTTATTTATTGGCCTTTAATGAGGAAAGGAATCATCTCAGTATAAAAACTGTTCTAAGACCCAGGTCATAGTAAATAATTCTTTTGTATTGCCTATGATTAATCAGTTTTTTCCTTAACGTCTAAAAACAGGCTAAAACAGTAAGAATTACTTTTGGATTTAACTGCAAAAACAAAGACCACTATGGAATAATGATGTACCATAAAAACAGACTCATCAAAGCTTATGAAAGAGTTGGCTGTCAGTTAAAGGTAGGAATTTAAAGCTGCAAAAAATGCTTGTATATGTAAAAAATTTTCATTCACATGATAATTTTAAGAAAAAATTTAGGGTGCTTTCATAAAACTTTCATCTAGTTTGTGTGACAACTGAAAGTTGTTAAATTGTATAGAGTTGCTTACTTTTTGATACCAAGTTGAATGCATAAAATACAGGCACAAGTGTATCTTTTAGAGCAAAAATAAGACTCTTTGCTTCATTTGCTTGTTTTAATTTTGGAGGATTTCCTTGTGAGTCTCCTTGGASATAAATCATAGTCCAGTTTTCCTTCTACTTAGTATATATAGTTTATAATYGCTTCTGACAAACTCTTACAGTTAAAAAAAAATTCTCTACTAATACATTTTCTTACAGGCAAACAACATGGGCGTTGGTGTAGTCGGGATTATCGAATGCAACTTCCTGAAGCCAACTCATAACAAACAAGATTTTGATTACACAAATGAGTACAGGTGAATGTGTATTTTATGTAGAATTTGCATTGAATRATGTTTTTCACTGTGAAACCCTGACTGTAAAGATTTTTAGTTTTCTTGGGTTTTTCTTTGTTTTGTAAGTAGTAGTYGCTGATGCTTAACGTTCTGTCATTCATCTGCACGCCCCACACCCCGCATCCAYATCTGGGGTGGGATGTTTGTGCCTGCACTCGTTTCGTTGTGCAGTCAGAGAAGTCCAGGGGATAACGTGTCCCTCTAAAGCAGGTGCCTTAAAAACAGCCAGCTTCTTTCTGCCCYTCCCCAGCTGCAGAATGAACGTGTGATAACTTGATGAGATGTGGACTTATGTTATGGACTTATGTGGCAGATGTTTACAATTTGTAGAGATGAATCCCACCTTTTTTTCATATTTTTTTTTGTTAATCTGAGCTCTTATAATGGGTACTTTGGAAGCCTTTTTTCAGTGTCTCCACTAACACTAACTGAGCTTGACTGTCCTGAAGTCGTCTGTTACCTGATCCAGCATTTAAAATATTAGACAAGCTCAGAGCAGCTGGGATTTGGGGCAGAGCTTGCTTTCAGTCACGATCTCTAACTTGGAGTTGCCACTCTCTCGCATATTTGCAACATTCCTAAAATTAGTATCTAGGATTTTGTGTAGTTACAGTGGACAAGACGGAAGATTTAACCTGACTTGAAAAATAATCAGGGAAAATTATTTTCAACCCTGGTGAATCTCAGTCTGGTAGCTTGTTCTTGCTCCCCTGCTGCAAGAGGGGTTGTGCTGGTATTAAGGAGAGATTTTTAGGGGAATGAAAGGCTAGAGTGAGCGAGTTACCTGAGCGATTCAAATGGAGATGTAAGACCTGCTTAGAGAGAATCTGGGTGCAGACTGTGCGAGTAGTTCCTCGCTGTGTTACGTGTCCCTTGCCTCATGACAACAAGGAGGCTATTCTCTGTTTTCCCTGCGCTTTATTTTCAGTGTGCACRTGTAAATGTTGGGTATGGAATTGCAGACACAGGTAGGGTAAACTTTGGCAGGAGAACTCTCTGCTTCTCCAGACTGTATGTTCTGCCCTGCAGCTGGTGGCCCTTTTTTGGCAGGCGTAGCTGCTGTCGTAGTGCCAGGCTTAAGTAGCACGGATGTTTCTGCCTCCATGCTGCTGTCTGAGCTGTGATTCAGAAAGCAGCAAAGCAGATCAGGGAGTCAGTTTAACTAGAAAATAATTCTTGTTGTGTTATTTATGTATTTATTTTAATTAAAGTGTTCCCTAAGSTGTTTTCTACATGGCTGCATAAGGATTCCCCTGGCAAAAGGGAGGAATGAGGAATGCTGCAGAGTCCGGAGAGACTCTGTAGAGATTTGTGTTATCCAGCCTTGGTGTGGGGTTCCCACAGGCTGGCACAGTGAGCACTGAATGCTTTATTTGTTTCTTTCTAAAAACACTTGCAATGTGGGCGCAGAAATACTATACTTGAAAGATCTTTTCCTTCAAAGGTCTTTGTAGAACGAACATTGCAGGATTTCAAAAAAGATATCTTCCCAGCCCAATACAGAAACATGAAACTTCAACAGTAGTTTCATGATTAGTTTAAGCTAACCTGCCCCTTTCCTCTCTCCAGAAGAGAAATGCTGCAGTCCTTGCTTTGCTCTTTGTTTTTGTCCTTGTTTCACTTTCTTGTTCTGGCACCAGAATTCATGGCCTGGGCTGGGAGGAGATCTAGGTTAAGGCTTTATAGGCCAGGCTGCCTGTTCACTGCACAAACACTAGCTGGAGCGGCAAGGTGGGTGCAGATGAACCTGCAGAAACAGGTTCTGGTTACACAGCCASTTCGCTGCGGTGATGGGTCCTGTTCTAGTATCTGTTTGAAAAAAATGTGGCTTCCAACAATGTCGGCCTTTTAGGGTTTTTTTTAAAGCAAAAAGCATGCTATTGTGCAAGTGTATATGTATATATACTTTTTTTTCACTTTTCTAGACTTACAATAGCAGCACTAGGAGAAAAACTTAATGATTACTGGAACGAAATGAAAACAAAGAAAAATGAAGAATATCCCTTAGCATTGCCTGTAGAGGAGATACAGTAAGTATCACTTTTAATGGAGGAACCTTATATAGTTACTGCTCTTCTACACCAGATCATGAGAATAAGCTTTTCAAGTCAAAGTTATGGTATTTTTTTTTTTTATTACAGAAAGCAGCCTGACCAGACCTGGGTGCAGTGTGATGGATGTCTGAAATGGCGGAAGCTCCCGGATGGAATAGAGCATTTGCCAGATAAGTGGTACTGCTCTCTGAATCCCGACCCACAATTCCGGTAAAATTAAATTTGGATAAATATATAAATCTTGATTATTATTTTTTTTTTTAAAATTTGTAATCACTTGAAGCAAACACATCTGTTGTGCTCTTCTCTTGTTATTTTTTCTTCAAATCAGGAATTGTAATGTGCCAGAAGAACCTGAAGATGATGACGTAATACATCCTACGTATGAAAAAACTTACAAAAAGAAGTAAGTACTTGAGTGTTGTGTGTCTRTGCTGGAAAGTGAACCTGAAAATTAACCACCCTTTCCTTTCAAAAGGGTTGCAATCATTCTGGGAATATCTAGTCCCAAAATAATGTCCTAAAATCCTAATCTGATCATAGCAGGGAGCAGATGAATAGGATTTTTTTTTTTCCTGTTATTAGTGTGTTGACATTCCAGAGATTTTTCAAGTTTATCTCTAACTCATTATTTTGCTTTTCTAAATCAGTATTGGAAGAGTCATACCTAAAAAGAACTCTCTCATTTAGTAGCTAGTAAGTAGATGTTCGGGTGCAGTTCTGAGACAGGTAGTATTACAGACCTGTAAGGGATATGAGRATGGTTTTGGATGCTACAGAGAAGCAAGTTACCAGAGCTGTTTGGAGCCCTTGCCTAGGAAATGTGAATTTTCAAGGTCAACGTGGAAAACGCTGAATATCTTCAGGCGTTTGTATGAGTAAGATGATCCTTAACTAACGTAACTAGAACTAATTTGGACACTTAGACCTAAATATTGGTTCACTTATTAGTACATTTTTATTACATTTTTTTAAATGAATCTAAGTCTGTTTCTGTAGTTAAGCTGACCTTAAGCTATACCTTCTTATGTGTGGAAATTTTCAGTAAGGAATCTGTCCTATTAGAGTTACAGAGCACTGGAACAGGTTGCCCAGAGGCTACAGAGTCTCCTTGTCTGTAGGACTCAAATCCTGCCTGGGTGTGATTCTTTGCCATGTGCAGCAAATGACTCTGCTTGTGCAGAGGRMTTGAACTAGAAGAGCTCCAAAGGTTCCTTCTAACCTCAGTTATTCTGTAATTTTTGTATGTCTAGGCAAGTTGAAGGGTTGGTTAGATTTTTGTGAGTACTTTGTATTTTGAATTTAACTTTTCTTTTTCTTGCTACTGTGCAGAGACAGGGAAAAACTGAAGAGACGACTGGAGTACAGCCACCAGGTAACTCTCATGAATGTGACTAGGCAGTTTATTCAAGCAGCCCAGACTGAGGTACAGTTTTCTTCAGCTCACGGTCAAGTGACTTGATCCACAGACTGTTTTGACAGCTAGTCATGTGGTCATGCTCACTGCTAGTGAACCAAAGACCACATATCTTTGCTGCCTGATGGTGACAGATGCCTCCTGCAGGGAAAAAATGTAAAGGACAAAAGCTCTCATAGGAGTCAAAATAGTACTAGAAAAAGTGTCTGTCACTGTGGTTTGTTTTTTGTTGTTTTTTTTTGTTTGTTTGTTTTTACATGACGCTTTCTTTTTTTCTTGTTACATGACACACTGTTTATTTTTTTTCTTGTTACATCACATCTAATTACTAAAGGTGAAATTCTTGTAGAGAAAGATATAAAATTAGCCTTAAATAGAAAGAAAAATGGCTAAGAAGTTTGTAGTAGCTGTACTTTGAGAGCTTGTTTTACAAGGAGGCCCACAGATTCTCCTGAAATACAGATGCAAGTCAGAGTGGTTTAGTTCAGAGGATATGTTGACTCTAATTTGGAATCAAATTTCCTAAGTGTAATATAGCTTAAGCTGCTTTCAAAGTCAATTGTTCACATCAGATTACAAGGTTTCTGGAAAAAAAGTTTGGCACATGATGTTTTAATCTATTTACTTCATTTGCATTTATTTCTCTGCCGTTGATTTTATAGATAAGTAGAAAGGTCATCTCTAAAAGTAAGAAGTGGTCATTTTGGACAAGCATTTAGGTCTGAGCAGCTGTGACAGAAATGGGTTATTCCTTATTTTGGACAGACATAGAGATACAGAACAGCTCAAGGAAAGCTCCTCCCCAGGTTCTATGTGGTATCTAGTTCTGGAGAAAGGCTTGTAAAATTAAAGAGCTGCTTTCCCATAACAGTGACACTGTATGTGGTGTGGGGAGGTGTGTGCTGCTGGGGTGCAGTGCTCTGAGTCTCTGAGAAACTTGCCAGAAGTCAGTAATCATGGTACAAAAGTTGTYGTCATCCGTTAACTTGTATGAAGTTTTGGCCTGTGTCAAAGTCATTGTGGAAAGGATGTATCAGAGAAAACACTGACACACATTAGTAGTCCTCTTAGTGACAAGCTACTAAGACTGGGATTTGCAACAAGTCCTTTTTTATTTGGGTGGAAAAATAAAGTTGAGCTGGAAGTTCAAGAATGAGATTGTAAGGACTCTCCAAAAAACAATATACAGCTGAAAAGTCTCTGTGTGTGTTTATATATATATATATTTTTCAGATAGTTGGCAGAGCTATTTAAATTTGTTCTGAACTGTTTCCTATTATCTCTCTTTTTTCCATTTCCCATTTTGTCTTACAGCTCTGTAATGAAATGTTTTTAAAAACTCCTGTTTCTTCAAGTAAAGACTTTAAAACGTTCTCAGCTGTGAGTGGAAAGGAAGCTGTTCCAAGATCAGTTTTGCCAGAAACATCAAATGCTTCTATCAAAAGACCTCTGTTTATTTCAAATAGATCAGTATCGTCAACAGAGTCTGATAGCAGGTTAGTAAACTTACAGAAACTAGACTCCTGTTTATCTCTAGAATTAATAATTTACTAATGAAAAGTACCTTGTTAACTGTAGGCCTATCTTTAGGCTGTAGCTGCAATAATAGAAATGTCATTTTTGATAGTGTAGGAGCACAGCAACTAATGGTTTCTAAAAAACCTTGTGAAATGCTGAAGTGAATGTAGCAAGAATACTGTGTACTGCCAAGAGAATCTAATGGGTTTGTCCAAGTTTAGGAGGAGGCTGTTACCTTCACTCTGTACCTTGTTTTCCTTGACCTCTATTACAGGTAAACTTAGCACATGTTACTTAGCACATTATTTTGAAAGAGACTCAGTGTCTGTGTTGAGGAAAAAAATCTACTGTGTGGATGTCAGCCACTGTTTTTRCAGGACAGGTATTTATTCTGACAACCAATCTTAAGATATTACGCGAGAGGCATCCCTTTCTAGTTGCTCAGTAATGATGACAGAAGCAAATAAACATAGTTTAAAGTAAATGAGTTGTACTTGAACGAGAACAATAATCAGTTTAATATTTTTCTCCTCAGTCTTAAGCGAAGGTCACAGGATTGTTCGGCATCTGTGACTTCAAAGACACCTCGGTTAACTGACAAAACATTCAACAGCCACACTGATGATGATGACGATGATGAAGATGTCATCATTTTAGAGGAGAGTAGTACTCCAAAGCCTTCAGCAGATTCTGATGTTCCCGTCATAAAAACGGAATGTATTAATTTGGATCGGGAAGGGAAGCAGGAAGAGGAGAGCAGCGGTGGAGAACCTTGTAGTGCAACCACTTCAGAGTCGAAGAGTGAACAGTCAACTTCAGCGACACAGACTGAGCTCCCCAAAGTAGTCGTTAAAAAGGAAGAGGCTGAAGACGATGTGGCTATTCCAGTGCCCAGGTCAGAAATGGAGACAAAACTGCAGAAYGTGCAAGATGCTGCTGAGGCACCTGCAGATGTCGAAAATGCCCTGAGTGAACTGAAAAATCAACTGAACTTAGTAAAAGAGGAAAAAGAAACATACCAAAACAAGTGCGAAGTGTTAACCAGTCGAGTGGAGTCCCTGGAACAGACGATATTAGAAATGAATAATAAGTATGTGAAAAAAGAAATGTGCCATCAGTCAACTGAGACGATCTCTCCATTCGTAGAAGAGAACGTTCATGAGAGAAGTCTGGGTGACGTGACCGTTCTCTATGAACAGGCCTTAGAAGAAATAGCAAAACTAAAGGAGCAATGCAGTACTCTGCAGACCCTGAAAACTGAGTGCACCAACTGTGCTGAAGGTGAAAATAAGAATGAGGTAGATGAAATTGCTGTGCAGCTGGATGATGTTTTCAGGCAACTGGACAAATGCAGCATTGAGAGAGACAGATATAAAAGTGAGGTATGTTTCTCTTTTTATATGAATGTTATATGGCAGTCCTAATAATACGTGATGCATCACATGATAAAACTTGGTCTATTACCTAATCCCTGCACCTAAAAGGGAGAGGGATTATTGAATTCACCTAGGAACTTTTGTTTTGCTTCCRTAGATAGAAATTAGGCGCCCTGAGGCAGATTGAACTGATTCAGGATGAGGGTGAGCACATATGGTGGTCCAGCTGACAACTAGTTATTTTAAAGCAGTTTGACTGTGTTGCCATGTCTTAAATAAAATAGTATGTCAAACTTGTTCATTTTGTTAATTTAAATGCTTTAAATTCTTGTTGCAGTTATTTTAATTACTATGTAATTAATAAAAATTAATTAAAATTAATAAGCATAAAACTARTTATTTTGATTTGCTTTCTAGGTTGAACTACTTGAAGTGGAAAAAAATCAACTTGCCTGTCAGTGTGAAGAGCTCAAAGCAGAAGTCGCTCAGTTAAAAGCTTCAATTCCCCAAGCGGTTGCACATGCAAATGATTCTACAACCAGTAATGTAGAAGACTCAGTAAATTTTTCTGATGGAGAAAGGTATCCCTTTTGTTCTTTCTAGACTATTTCAAGCAAGATTRTGGCTGGCTGATTGTATCTGAAAAACCTTGACAAAGGTCATGTGTGATTACAAAATAAAATGTGGTGCTTGGAATTATTTTCTATTGCCTTTTATGACCCCGCAACTCAAAATCAATCATTTCATCTTTTTATAAATTGACTTAAAATCCATCTGTGCAATCTGGATTGGCCGTTACATAATCGAATACCACAGTGGCATTTTTTAGAATATCAGAAATGTTATCTGATGATTTTTGGATGTGACCTGCAGAACAGGGAGAGAGGAAAGAAGAAGAGAGGGTGATCATYAGCTTATTCTGTGTAGATGAACTTYGCTTTTGCATTCTACTCTTCTTGCTTGACAACTAGTCCTCTGCTGAAAAACTTTTGCTTTTTATAACTGATACAACCTTTACTCTAAGCACTTCTGATTGCTGAGCAATCCTTTTGAAAGAAGGGTTGTGTTCAGAGTAAATTTTAGAAGAAATGTTTAAACTTACACACTGGGAGCTTGTTGCTCCTGGTGAATAGAAGTACCAAACCCACGGAAGTTCACGTGTGAGATGGAAGCAGCGTGAACAGCTCGGGCAAAATATCAAGACGCTGCCTAGGTATGTAGGATGGAGATGAAAGCCAGAGGTCAGCTGGAGTTAAAACTGGCACAGCAGAAGCAAAAGAGAAAGTAAGAAAAATGTGGCCYTGCTGTTTATTGGGCAGGAGGCATAAAGACAAAAGACACAGAAATGACTTGAGTACTCTATTTTTTACTGGTAGTAKTTGCCCTCTGGTCTCACAGGTCTAGTAGTACCTGAGGGACTGAAGTATTACCTGTAGGAAGACTGAGTTTAGGGAGCATTTAAACACACTGAAACATGCCCAAGTCCTTGGGACCAGATGAGATGCGTGAGAGGCTGCTGGCCAAGTTAGTATCAAAATTGGCTGTGCAATGACACATTAAAGGTCGTGGTAAACAATTCAGATCCTAGTGCCTAGGAAAAGGCAACATGTTCAAGAAGAGCAGAATGGAAGATCTTAGAAGGTGCTCAGTGTAACCTCAGGCCCTGGGAAGACCAYGGAGCAAATGCCCTTGAAGGATCCAGCCACATGATGGATGGCACAGTGCCTAGGAACAACCTGCATGGATTCACTAAGGACAAATTGTGTCTCTGCAGCCTGTCTGCCTTCTGCACGAGATGACAGACCTTGTGGATGAGGAGACACCTTCACTTTTAACAAAGCCTTCAGCATGGTCCACCATAGTGGATCCCTATAGCCAAGTATATGAGTTAGGGTTTCAATAGGTGGGCTGGAAAACTGGCTGAACTTCAGAGCAGAAGTGGCTCTGATGAGTAACAAAGTCCAGCTGGCAGCCAGGTATTAGTGACATCTGTCAGGGCCAGTATTGGAGCCAGTGCTGGCTAATACCTCTATTGATCTAGATGATGGGGTAAGGGGAGCTCAGCAACTTCATGATGGCACCAGATTGGAAGGAGCTCTTGGTGYGCTGGAGGGAAGAGCGGCTGTTGAGGCAAGCTGCAGAACTGAGCTGACAGAAAACTCACGGAAACTAAAGGAAATGCAAAGTTCTGTGCCGTGGTTGGAAGTGCCCCTAGCACCTGTGCAGGCTGGAGGCTGCCCGGGGAGAGCAGCTCTGCAGAAGAGGGCTTGTGCTTTGGGAGTTCAATGTGAGTCCGTAGCGCCCGCTGCGGGGCCAGGGCTCGCTGCGTGCTGCGCTGTCTCGGCACGTTTTAAGGAAGTGACTCTTCCCCTCTGCTAGGCCCGCGTGAGACCAAATATGGGGCAGTGTGCCCCGTTTGGGGCTTCCTGATACGAGGAAGACGTTGGCCTATGGCAGCAAGCGTAGAGGATGGAGCACCAAGGGGGAGARGGGCTGGTTCACACAGTGTAAAACGGGAAGCTGTGGGAAATAGCCCTAAGAAGCCRAGGCTGAAGAAGCTGCTTCAGCTGCCTAGCGGGCTGGGAGAGATGGAGCCTGACTCATGAGCACAGCAGAGACTCTGCTTAAATGTGATGGGGGAAAAAAGTGTTCACAAGGAGGGTAGTCAGTCCCAGGAAGAGGACAGAGCAGAGGAACCAGAGAAGAAAGCAAAAAAAAAAAGAGAGAAATAGTAATTTCCCTAAACTGTAACTCCTACCTCACTTGCTCTTTTGGAGCTTTTTGGACAGACTCTCCTGCRTTTTTGCTGGTTCTTTTTTCTCTTCTTTTGTTCCCCACAGGTGGTGTGAGTTGTGCTTCTAAAYGTATAAAAGCACCAGTGTTTAATGTTGTTAATATTAAACAAACAAAAAAAGTGGTGAAGGATAAAGGCCAATGCTTCTCTACTAACTTAATTAGAAGGCTTAAAAAAATATTTATAATTTCTGTTGAGGAAAGGAGAATTCAGTTTAGCTCAGTATTTGTTTGAAATTAGGGATTTATAAACATTCAGAATTAAAACCTGAGAGGCTCAGCTGTGAAAAAAATGGTGGCTCTTGAAATTAACTCACAGTAGCTGCATCACTCTTGTTAACTTGTTAACTTATGTAAGCTTTTCCAGTTTGGAAGATAAATCTAACTTTGCAAATAGCTTTAAATTATTCTGTATTTGAACATTATCTATTATCTAAACATACCTAATGATTTCTTTGCAGCCTGAAACTCCGTTCCCTTCGAGTGAATGTTGGACAACTTTTGACTACAATCATGCCTGATCTAGACTTGCAGCAAGTAAATTATGATATTGATGTAGTAGATGAAATTTTAGGACAAGTTGTGGAACAAATGCATGAAATCAGCAGTACTTAATACTTTAAGGTATTAGCAGACTTCCATTATAACCTTAGTGTAGGTTCCAAATTGTAAATACTGCCTCTTTGCTTTATACATTTGACATCACCCTATCAATAACTGTATATACTCTGTATGTTTAGATGTTCCCACAGATGCAGTGGGTTCTCTTAACTTCCTCTTAAAGGAATAATGTCGATACTGACTAACCCAGTGTACTTAATTAAGGATTTTGCTTTTAAAATGTATTTGTAATTAAATTTGCAAATATTTTTATTATTAGGGATCTTAATACTTTTCTACAGAAGCTTTCGATTGACTTTGGATCTTAAATAAGCATTAATACTTGCCATCATTTCCTCCTCCAAAATCTGAAGCAGTGGAATATGTTTGAAGAAAGAAAAATACCTTCCTTGATTTCCTTCTCAGAACAAACCTCAATAGTGTTATTGTAAACTACAGTATTGTTTCCTTGCTATTAACAATGTTGTATGTTGCATTAATGAGACAGAAGAATAACTAGTAGATGAAAATTTTGTCCATATTTGTAATGTTGTGTTGTACTACCAAAAAAGGAAAGACCTTTAAGGGCTTTATCGTGAGAATTCATGAGCTCCAGCTTCCTTTGAAGTTTCTGGAAGTTGCAGGCAGTTGTTCTCATTCAAGAACATTATCCATACATAGTCTTGCAGCATAAACAAATTCATGGAATGTGCCAAGGATATTTCAGCCTCTTCMGTGTTGGGAACCCCATGCTTGTTTGTATTCTGCCCCTGCTGCTGGTTGTTGTTGTTTCCTACGCCTAAGTATCTGCTTTTATATAAAGCAGGATGTCCAGTTGTACCCCTGTATTTCCCATTAAACACAGCAATGCTTTTTCAACAGTGCAAATGCAAACCTGTACGTGGGCTCAACATAGTCTGTTTCCACATGCTACCTATGGGCTGTTCCCAACTTTCTTCTGAGGCAGTAGCAGCTGGTGGAATGGGAAGTCATCCTGGTGGCCCATTGGAGAGAGCACATTGGGACAACATATACCAAACTAGGCAGTATTTCTAAGCACCTCTGCTTTGCCTCGAAATACCACTTTCCAACACCTAAAGTCATTTTTCCAAGAAAGCCCAGTGTTGAGCAGAAGTTCTGCCACGCTTAGAAATGCCCAGGAAGGATTTGCTACATGTTTTCCAAACAGAAATTTTTGCRGTGTTAAACATAATCTGGAGACTTTCAGGGTTGGCTGGGATGGTGGTGAGATTGGTCTCAGAAATTAACCTTCCCATCAGAGCGCACCATGCTGCATAGGAATGCCCGAGCTTCCCAAATTCTGAATTACTTGAGACAGAAGTAGGAGGAGACATGTTTTCTYATCTATGGTTTAAGTGACTTTGGAGTGAGCTAAAGCTGAAAATGTTCAAATGCAACTTGTTTGTCTTAAAGCTTAGACATCTTTTATTAAAGACAAAATAGGAGAGTTCTCTTTTTAAATCGGTTTTACTGTGATTCTTACGCCACTTGTATGCTCTAATACTCATGCAAAAACTTCTGGAAGAAATGGTCATGAGAGAAAATGTTGAAGTGGTGACAGTATCTCCTCAGCCAATTGCATGGGTTTTTTTTTTTTTTTTTCTCTGAAGCCAGCAGGAATGAGAAGAGAACTGGCAAAGGCAGAATACCCCCCTTTCATCTGTGATGGTATTCATGAGCAGTAACACATATAAACAGTAATCAAGAAACATGAAAAAGGTTTTTGTTTCTTGGGTTTTTTTAAATCATGAAACAACCTTCATGTTTATTCCTGGGAAGCATTTATGGTTTTGTTGTTATTGTTTTTGTTTTAGTATATATCTATATCTATCTATATATATAAAAATTATAAAGGCTCTTGCACTGTTACTGCCCTTATTGAATAGGACTGTGTTCCTTTCAGTTGCTTTCAATGGAGGCTAAGACTATTTCAATTTTAAGATTCTGTCTATTCTCTTACTATGTCAATAAGGATAACACAATACTGTTGTACTTTATAATGGCTAAATTGAATGTTTGATTTTGAAGAGGTGGCTGTAATATAACTGTTTGTATGACTTTTAAAAAGTTTATATTTTCCATTTATTGGTGTGTAGTTTTTCAATTTATTTATTATGTTTCATCAGATTATGTAGTTGAATTTATTAGAGGTGACTGGCAAAATATAGCATATGTCTATATTGAAAATGGAAGATTTACACTGTACATTTACATTTTGAAAAACAGTGGACTAATGGAAAGGGGTTTTATTTACTTGTTAAAATGTATTTTTTGTAAAAAAAAGAAAAAAGAAATTATATAAATCTGAGTTTGCTGGATCAAAACTTGTATGTGATCAGATGCAATGTTTTTGTTTCTAAATAAATACTCTGCAGAATGGCTAGTATTTCTGGTTTATTTTAAATATATCTAAATGAGCCTTAGGGGACACTTGTCTGTTTTTGAGTGGCGAACTTAAGCGAACAACTCATGCTGTGGAGCTAGGCAGCCCTCCTTGCTTTCTACTCTCTACTAGTAGAARCTGTCTGTTGCGTGTAGGGAATGTTGTTTCCCAGTGAAGAGATGGCTGCTGTAACAGGCTTTGGGACTCCTCAAGACCTCCTTAGGAAATTGGTTGAGGCACAGACACTGGATTCCAGAGACAAGGTTGGGACTGRGCGGATCAAGCATCTCTCTTGCTGCTGCATGTTGTGGCCCCATTCCCTTCTCCCCCTGTMCACTGGTAGGCTGCTCTGCTGGGCTCTGCAACACAGAAAGTGGCAGGAAAACAATAATAATAATAATACAATTATTATTACAAGACTGCAGATGGGCAAGGTATTTGGTATGGACTAGTCTAAATGTAAGAACATTTTAAACAGAGCATAGAGCGCTGCCTTGTTATTATGGGTTCCTTTGTTTACTTGCATACTAGGGGCCAGTAGAGGAACTGAGGCAAGCTTTAAAACTCTTAAATGGGAGTCAGTTGACTCTCCTGTACCTTCCCAKGGAAACAGAGAAGCCATTTTGTCAACTCAGCCCGTAATTACCAACCTAAAGCTTACTCTGAAGTAAAAATGCCCAATGCCTTTATTTCTTGTGGCAAATGCATTCCAGAATAGTTACTGTATTGTAAATATCCTGGGTGCTGCATATTTGGGTGGGAAATAAAGACAGGCATTATTTGTTTGTTCTTCACCTCTGAAGTTACACATTGAATCTTTCYTGTGGAAATGGTTCCCCTCGGTGAATATTACTCCAAAGACTGAAGCGTGCCCAGTTATAACCAGCATAAAACTGAGAATTGTCCCTGATGCTTAATTCTTAAGTAGCTTTTTTGGGTGCCTTCAAGATCCCCACAGCTCAGATTCATATCAGGGTGTCCAGGTGTCATGATGTTTACAGCGAGAGCCTCAAATAGTTGGATTTTCCATGATTCTTTACCAGCTCCATAGGGGATGTGTATTGCAGAATCTGAATCAAAGGTATATGTATGTGAAATGACTTGCTAGAGTAAAATGACAGCGGGTGCTACGAAAATACTSATGTGAACGAAGATCGAAGCGGACAGAAAAAGCCCCGTGCGCCACGTTTGGAGCCGCATCTCCTGCGGCGGCCGTTGGGGCCTCCCCAACGGCCGCCGCCGTGAGCCGCCTCCCCGCTGCCCCCCCGCGCGGCCAGGGGGCGCTGCCGCCGCGGGAGGGGCTGGGGCGCGCGGCGCGCAGGCGCAGGCGGCGCGCGGCGGGAAAGGCGGGCGGGCGCGCGGGAAGCGCGAGCCCCGCGGCGGGCCGCGCGCTCAGGTAGGCGCCGACCGTTAACGGCCCGGGTGGAATGCGGGTAAATAAATCTATCTGCCCCCGGGTTGTACTTGGGCGTTGTTGCAGTGGGGGCGCTTTGACCTTACCCTGCGCTCCTGTCGCGACATTTAATTGAGGTGGGAGGCGCAAGTTATCCTCTTCCTCACAGGATGCCCAGGCAGTAACTTTAATAAATCGTTGCGTTTTAAAGTTGTTTTCCTGTAATTCTGTCGTTTCTTCCACTTTTGTAGTGAAACTTCTTTTACGGGATCTGTGGTGCATGTGAAACCTGCATTGTCCCCGTTATAAGAAACGCCGCTTTATCCAGCGTTTGCTCTGTTTTCTTTAGCAAGCATGAAGGTCATCACCTGTGAAATAGCGTGGCATAACAAGGAGCCCGTTTATAGCTTGGACTTCCAGCACGGGACGGATGGGAAGATCAATCGGCTCGCCTCGGCTGGCGTGGACACCGCTGTTCGTGTGAGTTTCTGTCTCTCAGGCTTGGCTTTCAGCCTACCCAGCACGGAGCATCTTACTGCGTGAGGTGGTGTGGTGATGTGTTCTGAACTGGTAACAGCATTATTATCCAGGGCAGGATAATTATAGAATATCCAGATATTATAACAGCACAATGGGTTTTGTCTTTTTTTTTCTCCTTTCTCTGGAAGGCTGGTAAGTAACAAGTCAGTCGAGCAAGAGTAAGAACTYGCTAATTTTTAAAATCAGTCTTTTGGCTAGCCTGTTATTACTTCATTTGGCTTGTGATTATTTTTTTCTTTTTGTGCTTTAGGAGTTAGTAATARAAAGTATCACAGGCCGTGTTGGGGAATGTTTAGGGGAAGGGTGTGCAAAACTGTGCTAGTAGGTACAGAATGACCCCTACCCCAGCTTWCTGTCTTTGTGAGTGCTGAGTGCTGAAATGGCCTTTTTTCAGAAAATTACCTGCCCTGCTTAGTGGCAATCCTGAATGTAACTGCTAATTCACGGCACAGGCTGATGGATTAGTAAGAAGCAAYTAGTTTTAATTCCGTTGTGTTTGTGAATCTTGAATTTCATCAGGTCTCTTATTAGTGGTCACTCAGCAATACAAAATCTTCTGATCTTCCCCTTTCATTTGGCTTCAGATGGATTGCAACATAATGTGGGATTGCTGTTAGCAAACTTTGTTAATCTGCTATTCGTTCCTTTTGAAAATTGCCCCTGAAGATATCAAATAGCACAGGCCCAAAAGGAAGTTACTTCAAGGTTCACCTCTGCAAAATCAAGTCTTTGTTTACCATTTTCTGAATTCTTTTTAATGCAAGGACTGCCCCTCTCATTCAGTGGTCAGTCTATTTCTCTAAAAGCCCTTTAATAGCCCTCGTTGGAAAGCTTTGGAGGAAATTGAGTGTGCTGGGTGAACTGCATTCTTTTTATTTGTGTGTTGATCACCTCTTTAAATRAGACTAATGGACTGATGAGGTAGAATTTTGTTTTCAGAGAAATATATTAACTTACATTCCAACACAGGAACCTCCCTGTACTACTCTGTAGTGAGCTACAGCACAAAGAATTCATGTAGGTTTTCTGCTATGTCTGTGTAAATGTGTGTGTGTGTATGAWTGTATCTGTCTGCTACATATGCAAGTATGTATCTGTCTTCATGTCTTTGCATGACAGCTTTACACTTTAATTACCACTCAGCCCTGCTTACGTTCTGTCAGGCTTCCATCATCTGATGTGTTTAAAAAAAAATGAAAAATACATTATTGGGGTCTTACTGCATGTGCGGTGCTCTGGGATAAGCTTCTACATGACTTATTCAAATGGCTGATCCCCTGCCCAGGGAGGTTGT